CGGTTTCTCTACCTGCAGAATTACTATCCCCTACCCTGCCCCATTGGCATAAAATGCCCTGAAAATGTAAGAAGTCCTGGGCAGAGGTGGTATTTATGGTGTGTTTCTACCCCCGATAGCTGTCAAGGGCCTTGCAGCCTGTGGCACCTTGGCAGAGTCTCAAGGACCCCCTTGGCACAGCTGTGTGTGTTCAGGCTTCCCCTCAGCCTCTTTGTATAAGCAACTGTGGGAAGCTGGGATGTGGGACAAGACTTTGGGGCTGTTTGGGCCTGATTTACACCTCTGCCTCTGCCTTAGGACTCCCTTCTCCCCGCTGCAGGAAGCAGGGATTGAAGGTAATCTCTTGCCTTGTAACAGGGAGGTGGATGGCTGGCCTATTTCCTGTCCTAAGAGGCATCTGACTGGGCTGGGTCCTGGGTATTTCAGGACCCTGGTCAGCGCCCCTCTGTGCCCCACTTCACCGGAAGGGCAGGAGCTATTTCTAGCCTGCAACCCCGTCCTAGAGCCCCAGCCCTTCCAGCCATTAGTCATCTTCGCAGAGCCTTGCAACTTTATGCCTATGCATAAAAACTGGAGGGATTCGTCCTGGAGTTTGCTGCTGGGCGCCGCTGCCATTAGAGCGGTTTTAATTAGCTCAGGATTTTAATGATCTGAAATCAAGAAGAACCCCATCTCAGAAGTAAAGCAGGAGCTGCACACATGGAAGAACTTGTCTGACGAAACAGATGGAGGTGGTGCTCTCAGGGGACTGGGCTGTGTGCTCCTTTTCAGCAAGCAGCAAATGAGTTTCTGAGGCCAGAAGGCTGAGGAGGGAAGCAGAGGTCAGTCCCAGTGTCGCCCCGGCCGGCGCCCGGCAGGGGCAGAGCCAAGGTTGGCCCCTCAGCTGCCAGGGCTAGTGCTTGGTGCCGGATTCAAGGTGACGGCAGTGCTTGGCTCCATTCTCCTCAAGTTGCCATAGCAGCCTCTCTCTCTCAATGAGAGCTTCTCCTGGAGCCCTCAGCTGGGAGGGAGGGACGTCATTGTTCGCTCCTGCCTGTTCGAGGAGGACACCGACTGGACAGAGAACTTTCCCAGCCCAGGGTCCACTCACCAAGTGGGTGCGCCCATGGGCATGTGCTCGGATGCCTCCTGCTGCTTCCACTGGGGTGTGGGGTGGGTCCCCACAGCCAGAAGTGGTCCTCGGGGGGCTGGGGGAAGCATCCAGGCCTTGTAGCAGCCGCAGTCAAGCGTGTCCTTGGAGCCGTCCATTCATCGCCTGCCGGGCCATCGCCTCTGGAGGTGCGTGTTTGTTTTTTTTGGCTGAATTCCCAAGATCTTGCTTGTGCCCTGAAGTGAATTTTTTGAAGAGACAATTTTAAAATCAGATAAATAAGGAAATGGGAGGAATCCTTGGCCCTGCCCTGTGTCCCAGGAGGTGTTTACAAGATTAATTGGATTTTTTTTTCTTACAGTAAAAATCGGTGACGCCATTCAGGTGTCAGGAAGAGGAGCCGCTGGGAGTTCTAGGAATTGTGATGAGGGCAGGACCTTCTGAAAGCTCAGTGGGCTGTTTATTTTTCTTGCCTTACTCCTCCCCACTCTGCCCCCAGTTATTTGAGTTTTCTTATTGTCTGTTGGTGGTGGAAGGGAGGCAGGGAGATAGAGGAGGGTTTTCTATTTGTCGTCGGAACTGAGGCTGATGCAGTGCATGGTGAGGAGGCCGCACGTGTTTATGGGGCCTGGGCAACCTGGCCATGCCTGTGACAAATCCTAGCCTCCACAACCCAGGCAGCGGCTCAACCTCCAGGAGGAGACAAACAGCCTTTGGACCAGCATCTCCCTGTTGCCTTGAAAATAACCTGTGACTTTGAAGACCAGGACCCTTAGGGGAACAATAGGAGACCAGTTGTGCATACTCTCTGGATGTCTGGTGGTGTGATATGGCCTCCCATCTACCCCTCACCTTTAAAGAAAGAATCTTATTGATTCTGTGATGTTGGCCCCCTCCTGGGGCATTGAGACCCAGCAGACTTTGACCAGTCACCTGGGAGGGGAGACATGCTAACCTTTTGGTTCCCGTTTGCATGGAGCAGGGAGTTAGCTGGTCAGATGGTCTTCAGGGAGAGCAAACACTGACAGGAGGGTCTGGTGCTTAGGGGCTGGGCAGGGGAAGCCATGCTCGACTCTAACTCCCTCCCTGGGCATGGAGAAGGTGCCTGTAGTCTCTCAGGAGCCAACAAAGGGAAGGGTCTCTGAAAAGAGAAATCTGAGTGCTTGATGCTCTTGCCACAGTGAAGGCGCAGATGCTGAGGCTTCGTCCTCCTCTCCCCCAGATTTGGGGGCTGGGATGTGGTCCTCATCCAGGCTCCCAGGCTCATGGGCTGCCAGAGCCCAGCTGCATATGGTGGGCTGATTTGGGCAAGTTCAGAAACAAATGAGGGCGGGTCATGGCTGCAGGACAGGGGAAGTCAATGTGACAGATTGCGGAGAAGAGGGGACTGACCAGTTCTTCTGTAGTCACTTCTGCAGCACCAGCTACTGCCCAAACAATGCGAGGATGATTACTGGGGCGTCCGAGTCCCCCTTTTTCATCAAACGGAGTGTTTGGGATGAGGTTGGGTGGCACTTTATCAGTTATTTTCCAAGCACATTTAGCCATAAACTTGCCATCCTTTCTTCCCCCTTTTCCTTGTCCTTCGCTCTCCTTCCTTACAAAATGCCCTGATGTCAGAGGTCACCCTAGGTCAGATTGCCCTCCTGGCCTCGTGTCAGACTCAGGAGGCCCGTGTGGCCGCAGAATGCGTGCTAACAACATGACCAGCATAGCCAGGGCTTTGTGGCCATTTTCTCACAGCTGGGTTCTTGCTGGGGACCGTCAGTGATGTGGGTGTACAGGTGCCTGCCAGTGTGCGTGCAGGTGTGTGTGTATACGTGTTAGTGCATGTGTCCTGTCTCCACTGCATCCCCACTCTTTCAACTCTGATGCCTGGCAATTTCAAGGGTTTAATCCAACTGCTGGAGGTAAGGAGCAGAGCGGGGGTGGGAGAAAATAGCTCCACCTCCCCCATCCGTGGCTCACACTTCCCCTGGACCTCAGGGCTGGCCCCAGTGGGCCCTGCCAGCAGTGCCTGGGAGTCCGCAGGGTGTGAGCATGCTGTGGGCAGCACTGAGAGTGGCCTTGTTCTTCAACACAGCCTGGGTCTGCCCTGGTCCCCAGGACAGTCAGACCGAGGGCAGCCACGGGGTGGGGGCCATGGCCCCACATGAAGGACTGTAGGGTCTAAGCCTTGGGGACGGGGCTGTGGCTGCCCATTTTCACCCACTGCAAGCCTGGGGCAGGGTGTCCCCGGGGATGGCAGGAAGCAGCGGCCTTCCCCTGAGGTTGGGGCAAGCCTGAAACCCCAGAGCCAGAGCCAGAAACAGAGCAGAGCTTTACGCTTCCTTTCAAACATAAAAAGCTGGGAGGTCGTGGGAACCACCTGCTCAGCACAGCCCAGAGAACCCAAGATCCAGCGCGTTCCTCATGCGTAGAGGCCTGGGGCAGGTTAATTAAAGTTAACTGAGTGAAAAAATAATTACAGAGACTGCAGTGTGGAGAAACCCAAACCTGCAATTTAACACTCCTCAGCCCCAGAGCTTTCTCAGAACAGTCCGGGCCTTCCTGGTCTGGGCAGGGGAAGGGAGGGCTTCTTTCTTATCACTTCCTGCCTCATGCCCACAGGCTGGATGCAGAGGGGACAATAGCGGGGACTTCCTGCCGGAGTGCCTGGGTGTCCAGTCAGGAATGGGTTTCCTGCCCCGAGCAGGGGAAGGTCCTTGTGCTGAGCCACGTCTGGTCTGGGGCCCAACCAGCCACTCACCTGTGGTCTCCGAGGCCACGGGGAGCTGCCCACCTGGCTCAGCCCCCCTCGGGCACTGCCCTGTTCCAGGATGGGGGAAGCCAGGGCTCCTTGGGTGGTCAGAGAGTGGTGTCCCTGGGGCCCAGGCTGTTAAGAACTGGAGAAAGTTGGGGGACAGAGTGACTCTCTTTCAAAGGGGAGGTCCTGGGATACCTGCCCGTCTGGCACAGCCTCCTGTGCGGACTCCTCTTCAGCACTCACACTGCCCCACTGCGGGAACTGGCAACCTTCCTTTAGGCAGATGGCCTTGGGTTGCCCCGTCGTTGACCCATAGCCTGGCCCAACTGGGGTCACTGGTTGGTATTGGAATTTCTTCCCCTTCAGGAGGAACCGAGGTCAGGGGCAAGTTACATGCAGGCTCTGGGTCTGCAGTGGCCCAGCCTCTGAGCCAGGGGTCAGTCAGACTCGGGTCTGGCTGCCCTGCCCCAGGCCTGAAGGCCTCAAGATTGGAGACAACCACAATCTGGCCAGAGCTTCAGCTCCACTAGTGTGACTGTCCACAGTCCCACCAGCCCATTCAGCAAGTCTGTCAGGAGAGCAGCTCTGGCTGGTGGTGAATGGCCAGGTGGGGGCGTCAGTCTTTCCCTGACATCCTCTGGGCCTGGGAGGCACCTTCTCAAAGCCTCCTGCCCCGTGGACACCTGTCCCGAATATCTCATAGAGAGAGACTAGGGCAGAGGAGACTGAGGCCTTCACTGTCCGCCCGGTCAGTTGCAAGGGGCAAAGACCTGGATTCCTACCTGTACCTAGAACTCACCATGGCATGCAAGTGTGCTTGTTTAGAGGCTCAGAGAGTCTGGACAGTGTAGGTGGGTGGCCACTGTGCCTGGCTCTGGGTCTTGGGGCCTTACTCTGGGCTGTCCCAGGCAGAGGCCAGAGTGTCTCTCTCCATGGTTTTTCTGGGGGTGCCAATATAGGAGACCCTGGAGGGGAGCTGCTGTCCCAGCTTCAGGTGGTCACTGGACCTCCTTGGGCTTGCAAGGTGGAAGGGACACACCTGAGTTCCGAAGGGCTGAAGGCTTCAGGGATTACACTCGGTCACGTGCAGTGACTGGGGCCTCAGCTGCCCAGGAGGCCCTGTGCTGTGGTGATGGACCAACTTTCTCCCCTTCTGCCCTGTAGACTGTGGCCTGATGGACACCTGGTGTAGACAATGAGGGAAGAACTCGCCTCCCACACCCAAGAGGTGACCCCAGAGCAAGGCCCAGATGACCCTACGTGCCGGGACGATGCGGCTGGCCTGCATGTTTTCATCCATCCTGCTGTTCGGAGCCGCGGGCCTCCTCCTCTTCATCAGCCTGCAGGACTCCACGGAGCTCACCCCCCAGCAGGTGCCAGGTGAGCCCTCGCATTGGCCCCGCCGCCCGCTTGCCCTCCAAGGCTGCCCTGGTGCCAGATCTGTGCTGAGACCCCATAGCCTCCTCCTGGCGGGCATCAGCCTCAATGTGGGAACACTGTCTGATGTTAGACTACTAGCCTTAGGGCTCTGGCTTCTGACCTCTGACCTTTGGCCTCTGCACTCCTTTTGGGAATGATGGCCAGGCTGACCATCCCTCAGCTGGTTGTTGCCTTTGGTGAAACTCAGATTTAAGGAGGATTCTGCCACCTCTCAGGACCTCTCCCAGGATCTGGGACATCAGAGGGTGCACGATTTCTCCTTGAACTCATGCGCCCAAATAGGACTCTCTCTGCCCAACCCTGGGACCCCTTGAATCTTCTAGCCCCTCTGGCCTGGGCAGAGGGATAGGGTACCTCCTGGCTTTCTGAGGCTGAGACTGCTCCTGCTGGTGTCCCACCTGCTGCCTCCTATCCCACCTGTCCCTGGTGACCCACTAGAGGGGCAAACCCTCACTGACTAGCGAGGATCCACTGGGGATAGTGAGGGGAGAGCAGGTCACATGGTTCTGGAGCCTTGGGCAGATGGGATGTGGAGAGAGGAGCTCGGGCAAGGTTCCTGCCTGTGGGACACAGCCCCTGCCCCAGAGAACACGGCAGGATCGGAGGACAGCAGGCACAGGGCCAAGGCCAGGGTTGCTCTGCTTTGGAATGAGCGGAAAGCACTGCTGCCAGGCTCAGGGCACTGGTGTCTCTCAGCAGTGGTCCTGGGCCTTATTAGGGGAGGGCCATGAAGACACCCATGGGCGATGTGCTCTGGGACACGGGCAACAGAGGAGGAGTGGAGGCTTGGGGCTCAGGCAGAAGGTCCCTGCGCCATCCCTACCAGCAGCGCACAGCACAGGAGGGCGGAGCACGACCTGGGGGCACCTGGCCCTTAGGCGGGCAGCCTCCTCCCCAGCCACCCTCAGCCTGGGCTGGCTCACACTCTCAGGGTAGTGTGGGCCTGTAGGCAGTAGGTGGGAAGGCAAGAGGAGCACGAGCAGGTCAGAGTTAGGGCCCTGGGCTTGGCAGCTGCTACCAGAGGCCCTGGCAGGGAGTGCCTATGAGTTGATTCTCTCAACACAGAGCGTCAGTGAGAGGCAGCCAAGACTATGTGTCCCAGGAGATGGCAGCCAGTCACTGTGCTGACTCACGCCTGGCTGGACCCTCACAGATGGTGGCTGTCACAAGTGGGTCTGGCTGCTCCCCAGCAAGGACATGTGACCAAGCTGGCTCCTGTATGGGGACTTTGCAGCCTTGTGGGGTAGCGACTCTGTCAGCCAAATCGGGCCCCACGCCATCAGGACGGACAGAGTTGGCCCCGCGGGGTGTATTATCTGTGAGGAAGTGAGCTCCTGCGGAGAGGCCCCCAAACACAGCCTGGGGTGAAGCACTGCACATCCTTGATGCATGTGTGTGTGTGGAGGGGTGCACATACAGGCAGAGGGTCCTCATGGCTGGTGTCCAGCTGGACAGTGCCATGCACCCATCCATGGTACACGCTAGGGGCAGGTGCTACATTCCTGGGTGGAGTTGGGTGTGGTGGATGGGATTTCTAGGGTGAAGTGGTGAGTGGGGTGTGGGGAAGGCTCAGGCTGGCTGGGTGTGAAAGATGGAAGGAAGCTGTAGCCATGGACCTCGTGGGCCTGGCAGATGCAGGCAAAGAGCAGTCTTGGGTCCTGAGCCATGTTCTTCTGGCTGTAAATGGAACTGAACCCCCCCTTGCCACGTGCCAGGTGACGGACAGCCTTGACACTCTACGTAAAGCACATCAAACACAGTCATAAAACTTTAAATAATGCTTACATTACTTTCCCTGAGCAAAGTGTTCCTGACACAGGCTGTTTGTGCTGATTTGTTACTATTCATTTATTCTTTCCCTGTACTTCTCACAGCAGCCTAATTGTGATTCGGTACCAAGAAAGCAATATCAAAGTAATTTTCCACAACATTAGTTACAATTTTCTTCTGATCTTTCAAGTGAAACAATCCCATCCTGTTGGCTTCTCTGAGCATATAAACCTTGATTACACTTATCTGTTGGAAACCAGTGCTTACAAAGTGTATGTATCCAGTTGCATGGGTGGGTGGCCCCCAGGGCCCTGGACAAGCCTTCTCTGGGTGCATTTCTGCAGGTGGGAGCTGCAGACCCAGGAGGCTGCCCTGCCGCCCGGATTGGGCGAGGCTGAGGGAGTCCACAAGGAAATTCCACACGGCTGCTCTGTCTCTCACAGTGGCAGAGAGTTCCCTGGAAACCAGTCACTGGGATCTGCTCTGGGCGGCACTGTCCAATGCGGAAGGGGAGGCTGGACAGGTGGTGATTTGGAAACAAGCTAAGAGGGCAGGTGGGAGCTTTTAGTTACTTGTGTTCTCAGGGTTGGAGTGCCATTGAGATTTCTCCCATGCAGTTACCAGGTAAACAGCTGCTAAATTTTTCGGGACCAGTCAGCAAGCATCACCTGGCTTGTGCATTAGAAGTAATCTTATGGAATTGGCAACTGTTGTAAATCAAGCCATATTTTCAAAAATGTTTCCTATATTTATTTATTTTTGTTGTTAATCCTCACCTGAGGATATTTTCCATTGATTTTTAGAGAGAGTGGAAGAGAGAGGGAAAGACAGAGAGAAATATAGATGTGAGAGAAACACATTGATTGGTTGCCTCCTGCACGAGCCCAACCAGGGCCTGGGCCGGGGAGGACCCTGCACCCGAGGTACATGCCCTTGACCGGAATCGAACCCATGACCCTTCGGTCCACAGGCTGATGGTTTATCCAGTGAGCCAAACCGGCTAGGGCAATGTTTGCTATATTTAAACCAAATCTTTTGAAATGTGAATCACTTCCAGTTAACCTACCTTCAGTCTAAGATTAGATTTTCTTGTGGATCAGAGAATTCACCTATCCAACGTTTTATTCTCCAATATTGGCAGGCCCTGGATCACTTCTTGACCCAGGAGACTAGACTTGCACCTTTCCTAAATGGAAGACTCAGAGAGCATGCCAGAACCAGGAATGACTCATCTGACATGCTGGCCCTGGGGAGGCAGAAGACAGGCATACTGAATGTTTATGAGCTGCTTTTCTTTATGAGCTTTTCATATGGAGAGTTTGGAACACACAGAGAGAAGGAGATTAGGACAGTACAATGGACCCCATGCACCCAGCACCCCCACCCTGGCCAAGCTGGCCCATCCACATCCCCACCCACCTCCCTCCTTCTATATGATTTTAAAGCATGTACCATGTGGAATATGAATGCAGCCATAAATATTTCAATATTTTTCTCAGTTTAAAAGAGAAGAACTCTTGGTTAGCATTCAACATTTTTAATATCATCAAATATTCAGCCAGTGTTCAAATATCTTGTTGTCTCACAAATATTATAAATACCTTTATTTCCCATTTGTTGTGTTCAGTACCCAGGTCAGGCCCACACATCGCAGTTGATGGGTAAATCATTAAATCTCTTCCATCGGCAAGATTCCCTCTCCATCTTTATTTCCCTCTTGCTATTTGTTGGAGGAAACTGGGTCACAAGTGCTGTAGAGTTTCCACAGTTGGGATCTTTGCCGATTGTGTCCACTTGGTATAGTTCAATATTGTCTTCTGTTCTTCGGAGTCCCTATCAGTTAAGTAAATTAGCAGTTCGACCAAATGTAGGATTCTTTTTTCCTTCTTTCTTCGGCCAGAATGCACGTGTGGCACCAGGTTGTTCCTTCAGGAGGCGCACCTCTGCCCGGCTCGCTTTTGTGAAGTCGGTAGCCTAGACCCAGCCGTTCACTAGGGCTGCACAGAGCGCTCTGCTGTTTTATCATCCCTCCATCCTTTTCGGTGGGATGGATTTTGTTCTAATGGGGTGAAGCGAGTCGTTAGTGACCCGTGAAACCAAAGTGACCAGTGGATTGATTGGGTTATTCATTGCTACATTAAAGAAATTGACTTTATGATACAAACTGTGTTGCTAGCACACTATACATAGTTTTTCTTACTGTTTGGTTTTTGCGGAATGAGTTTTTGGAAAGTGGGCCCCCCCCATGTTTCAGTGATGTAACTGCTTCCCCAAAGCTGTGGAGCTGTGGGTGGTGGTGCTGGGGACTGGGGCTGGTGCTGGGGAGTCGGGGCGGGAAGGCAGCCACGGTCACAGCAGAGGTTCCCAGCAGAGGTCCCGCTCCGGGGCTGCGAGTGCAGACAAAGGGACTGGACAGCTCAGGTGATGTCTTGGTCTACAGCCTGCCCCAGGGCACTCCTTCCAGGGCACGGGGCATTCAAGGATCATAACAATAACAACCACTTGCCAGGTCTGTGCTAACACTTTACATGTTTTCCTGCATATAATTCTTATAAGTAGTGATTATTCCTATTGGCAGATGAGGTGCCCAGCTCTCCCTACGGTGGACACACCAACAGCAACGCCACTGATGTGGGCACACTCTTGACATTCACTCGTGATGGGCACTGTCACGGGTCTTTCCATGTGTTTGGAATTCATTTGATCCTTTCAAAACCCCATGAAGTAAGTCCTGTTACACCATTCGACAGAGGAGCTTGCTGGCGTGAGAGGTTAAAAGCTGTGCCTTTGGGCTTCGGAGCCAGCTGTAGAGCTGGCTGCGCCCACTGCACCTACTGCCTTCCCAACAGCTGTGACGGTTGGTATTGCCTGGTCTGGGCCCAGAGCAGGGCCTGGGCAGAGGGAAGAGTGTGGATCAGGGTTTGGAGGCATGAGAGGCTGTGGCATGGCAGGGACTCCCAGTGGGTTCCGGGCTGGATTGCGACCTGCAGATCTAGACTTGTGGCTGAAGACACAGCCAGGCTGCGGCCCAGGGAGTCCTGGGACATTGCAGAAGAGTGAGCCTTTGCCACGGGCCATGGGGTGCTCTGGGATTCTGAGGGGGAAGCGGCCATTAAAAGGCCCATCTTAGTGGCTGCGTGTTGTGGCGCTGTACACAGGAGCCAGAGAAG